AACCCAAAAAAAAAACAAACACCAAAAAACCAAAAAAAAAAACCCACAAACACCACCCCCCCCCCCCCCCCCCCCCCCCTCCCCCTAAGGGCGAGGGGATAAGTGCAGCTGATCCCGTCGCAGTTGGGCTTAGGGAATCCGCGGTGGTTCGAGTCATCTGGTGAAGTTGTCACCATGCAAGGTTCTCATGCGCACGTGATACAAGGGCTACCCTCCCTAAGATCTGGATTTACGTAGCCAAGACCCCTGGTAGACTTTATTTTGGCATTTTGTTTTTGTTTTGTGGTTCACAGCCGCTCCTCCCCCTAGCTACTCGCGTTGGCTTTGAAGATGCACAATTAAGGGGCACATGTTTTTGTTTTATGGAGTTCCGGCCGCCTGTCCGCTCAATCGTTCTTCCTCTTGTCGTACGCTCGCGTTTGTTGCATGGATTGCAGGGGCGAGCTTTGAGGTTTTGTGTCTTGGTCGGTGGTGGGATAGCTTGGAGCGCGAGCTGTGGCCACCAGGTTCTGCGGAAGCCGTGATGGAAGATTTCGAGGTGATATGATTGATCCAGTTTTCTCCAACTATCGCTTTTTTTCCCCTCTTGAAACACACACGGAAAACGCTCTCTGTGTGTGGCCTTCCATTGTCCCCTGTGACCCCGGGTGATATGTTCAACGTGAACACATGAAGTACACCGAAAGGCGTAGACTGGCGCCAGAATAGATAGATGGGACGAACACACACACAGTTCATGGCATCTAGAAGTGTTTTTTGTTTTCAACCACACTGAGACTGACGTATTTTCATTGGTCAGCCGATTAGCGCGGTCGATTCTAATAAAACAGACTCACACGATTTGTGCCCTATAGAAGCATTTTGGGCTTTCCACCGCACTGAGACTGGCGTATTTTCATTGGTCAGTCGGTGAGCTAGGTCAATGCCAGTAAGAAAGACACACTCGATTTACACAGCCGATCGGATCGTCTATCCAGAGCCTTTTCTTCGATGTCGATGTTGCTGTTGTTTGCTTCATGCGTTCGCGTCCTGGGTGACAAGAGTTCTCCGTTTGATTGTGCCGGGCCACCCTCCTTGCTTAGCTGGATCTTTGACAAATCGTAGAGGCTGAGATCTAGCCTCACGCCCCCAACTCCTCTTCCAAATCTGTATCCTGTATCCCCAAACATTTTTTCTCTCGGAATAACGTGGCACGTTGATGATTTATTTCGCGATTATAGGTTAACTTATTCCGCCTCGCCTGCTTTGCTTTATCCATGCCGTCGCGCATAGATTCTGTTTTGCTTGTGTGCCTCCGTATCTGGTGCTTCGTTTGCCCAATGGTATCCGCTGTTTTGTGCTACATGTGAATATGCATAAATTCTCACTCCTTTCATTTATGTCTGCGCAATCGTTTTTTTCAACGTTTTTTTTCCAAGGGCAAGTACGGGGACCGTCGACAAGAGTTGGTGTTCATCGGCATGGGGATGTGCGAGGAGTCCACCCGAGGGCCCATCGTGAAAGCACTCGATGGCTGTCTCTTGACGGACGAAGAGATGGAGGTGTACGAATCTGTCCGGGAGGTACGTGCATACAAGAGCAGGGTTCAACATACGGAGGCCGTGTCGTGGCTGGGGCTTCCATCCTTGGCCTGACAGAAAGTTCCAAAAGCTACTGCAGCTCCAGTCTAGTCGGTCTTCGGCCTCGATGTGAAAGCCGTAGGGTACGGGGTGATAGTTTTCCAGGCCGTCGGTAAGGCACGTACGCGTGTGATGATAACGTTTTTTTGTCCGTCATGCCGTTTGTTAACTGTCGCTCACTCGCAGTTTCCGTGCAGTATGTATCAGTACTTGCGTGTGTGCATAGGGTTATAGACGCCACAAATGTGAGATGCCCGTGCACACAACTTTTTGTTTTTGTGCGTGTGAGCGAGCACGGGAAGAATATTCGTTGTCGTTGGGCTTCTTCGGGCCTGTTCTTTTTTCTGTGTACTTGTACATGAGAAAATAGTGTGATGTAAGATCGGAGGCGAGCGAGCCGATCACCCGTGGTTGCTGGCTAGAAGGCTATTTAGTAGACAGATGATTAAAGCATCCTGCCGCTCTTGAACACAACCCAACGCAGTGATGTTCCAATGACAGCGGTAGTTGAGGAGGTGGGATGCCTTCATACCCTGTACACATAGTTGTTTACGGCCGTAGATGGGGCGGTACTTGTCCGGGAAAACATTATTATACCATGATTTCTTGCAACCGCGGGTCTCGCGTACAACACAGGCCTCACTTGAAAGTTAGGTCGATCTACAAACCTTGCGCGGCAAGGGATTAGATACTCGCACAACCAAGAGACCAACAATATGAAATAAATATTAAAATACCCATGACGCCCCCCCCCTTCACCCCCACGAATGCACGTGCCCGCTACTGTTTTCGTGCTTTTCAGACAGCGGACGAGCTTCCTGAGGCATTCCCAAGCCCGCTGCGCGTCAGGTTTACTTAGGAGATTTGCTGGCGAAATTACTTCGATTACAATAGTGTGAAGTTATTTCACCTAGATTCTCTGGTGCTCGGGAGGAGATGCTGGGGCGAGTGGGTACTCTCCGCTACTTTTCTGACCGAGTCTGTCTGGGGAGCAGAAAAAATGAACAACTACACAACGTCTCCTATTGTTTGTGGTACAATCAGCTGTTAGTTTTCTTTCGTACGCTACAATAGAAAAGTTGTAACGGTTGGGTTTCTCTTATGCCCAAGAATACGACTTGTGTGTGAAAAGAGGGAATCAATCGTCCTCGACTGTACTCTCATGAAGTGATCTCCACATTACCCACCACCCCCCTTGTCGAGAGAACCTGGTCCGGTGAGAACCCGGCGTGCTCCGTCCCGGCTTTGTAGAGATGCGAGGTCAATGGTCAAACGACACGGTATGCACGACTATGAGTACCCCGCCCCCTGTTGAGTGTTCTTGGCTGCTACTGTAGGCAAGAACGCTTAGATAGTAGGGGTTGTCGGAACCCGACCGGCTGGTGGGGAGTCGATTCGCTTCCTTCACAATTTTCTGTGCGTGGTTGCACGGGTTCGCTACGTCCGCCATGCCCGTCCTTAGACTAGAAGCTCCACGAGTTCGTGCGACCATTGTCGGCATCTTTGGCCCGCCGGAAATGCGGCACTCCGACCAAGGAACCGAATACTATGGAGCTCTCAACTCTGGGTGAGCGGAGGGAGTGGGGGTGTGGTGGCTGTGGCCTTCCGCCGGAGGCTGGCTATTTCCTTTGGTGCAATACGGCGAGGAATGCCAAGCGGGACCGAGCGATCTCAGTCCAAAGCTTTAGGGTGGTGTGGAGAGTTGGCGAGCCTTCAGTACACCCGCGAACCAATCACACGACCACCACACCTGGAAAGGGGCGCAACGATTGAAATCACGCGGTGTTTCCCCTCGTCCCAGCAGTTACCTCGTTTCCTATTTAGCGCCTATTCGTCGCCACCAAATGCGCCACCCAGAAGGTTGACGTAGCCTATGTACACCAACAAGGGGAACAAGTTCGAGGAAGGCGGCATGTATCCAACCGCTTCAATACTCGAGATAAATGATGACTACAATAGGTTACGTTTGATCCGCCGTCAGTCTGGCCAATGTCTTGGACTGTTGCCTTGCTTCCCCCTCCTGTGATAGCACCCCCCGCCTCGTATAGTCTACAGGTTGAGCAGGGGCGTATGGAAACAGCTCGGGCAAATCTCTTGTCCCTCTCTAGATACCGGTGCACACCGAACCTGTAGCCTCTGCTCTTTCCCACCCGTGGCGGCCATGTACTGTGTAGATCGACTACGTGGGTACAACGGCGGTCGATTGCACCTCTCAACCGAACAAAATTAGAGCGGAAGCCAAGCAATTCATGACACGACGAAATATGATGGCAGTGTAGCGGTTGTGCTTGGGAACGCGACGAAGATACATCCGAAAATAAATGCAAAAATGCACAACCGGTCGAGATGTCTTAAAAGCCACCGCCACCGCTCGTCATACTGTCTGTCTTCGATGGTGGACTGGAGCTTAGAAAAAACACGTGAGTCAGTCAACGTACGTCTGACAACGCCCCTCCTCGTTTTTGGCTTCAAAAATATACACGTACAATACATGTAGAGCGGCCTACACCCACCAGCAGCGCGTTTGCAATTCTATCATCGCGTACCACCTTCTCAGAGACGCGATGTAGACACCACTGTACTCGTTTACGCAAGGAGATACAACAAAAAGCACACCTTCGTTATCCCCAAATCTTGCTAGGGACCCTCTCTGGTGCCCCTATTGGCGGCTGCTGGTTGCTCTGCTCGCGGGACTGCTCTTGTTTTTCGTGTTGCATCGGAAATCGGAAATCGGGACACGGACACGGAGATAACCAGAACCACATTTCGTGGGTTCTTGTTTGGTTCTCTCCGTCCCACGTTCCCCTTCGCCAATACTCCAGCGCCCCGTCTTCGCTCCTCGCTCCTCGCTCCCACCTCCCCACCTCCCATATCTCACTGCGGTAAACCAGCAGCGCACAACTCTGGCATAGTCAGCCGTAAGCTGCGTTATGGACGCACTTGTGGAAATTTCCCAGGGCTTCATCAGCGGAGTCAAGGGTTTCTTTGACGGTGAGAGACAAGCAAGCAGTAGACTAAATAGATGTGTGTGCCTACGATATGTAGATACAGCAGCCCCCTGATCCGTCGTGCCTTCCTGTCTGTATTGTACTGCTGTGTAGTTTCGACCTCGTCGCCATCCTGTCCTGGCAGAAAGGAAACTGAAGCCCTAGAAACCAGTTGAGAGTTCGCCTGACAGATGCGATGAGGAAGTGCCTCTAGGTATCCCGCCGGGGCCGGCTGTCGCACGATCGCACGATGGCGACAGGTTTCGGGTGGACCGATGGATTTATATTTCGTCATGAATATGCAAGTAGTAGGTTCGCTTTTTGGCATTGCAGTGAACTAGCCGTGCGTGGCCCCTTGCGTTAGACTGCTGGTGTATTGTAAGGCTAGCGAAGACGAGCAGCGCGGATGGATAGTGTCAAGGCACAACAGAATAGTTTTAGAACTGCTCCTCCATCCTTTTCAAAGCATAGTCTACTGTAGACTAATACCCTTCAACTGCCCCCTTTCCCGATATTTCGAACGCTCCCTGGGTCCTAACGCCACCATGAACCCACCATGTTTTCAAACATCCCTCCCCCTTCTTTACCCACTGTCTTACGCTTCTTCCTTCCTGTGACAATACGCTCCGCCTCATCTAGTCTATCTAGAGGTTGAGCCGCGGCGTATCGCAACAACTTCGGCAACCCTCTAGTCCCTCTCTAGAATCACCCCGCTGCTCTCAAGTTCCCACCCGTGGCGGCGATGTACAGCGTAAATCGACTGGGCGGGCGCAACGGCGTTCGACTGTACCTCTCACCCGAACAACTTCGGAGGGGAAATCCGAGCAATCCATACTACTACAAAACTTGATGAGTGTGAAGCGGGAACTTTGACACCAAATTACGATTGCCACGTCTCCTGCCACTCACGAACCACACCCGCCCCGTCTGCTGCTGCCGTTGTCGTCACACCAGTTAGATCTTTCTCATCCCACCAACCGTCGTCCTCCCTCAACGCCAATTCCTCGTGATACGCCCTCCTCCAGGCCAATTGCTCGCCAATCGACGCGGCTGGCGCGGTAGCGTGGGGTTGCATTCTGGAAAGCCACGGCTGGCCTGTTGCGTAGGAATCCATATCCGCCGCCCTGTACCGCGGAGGAGCCCAATCTGGTAACGTATACCCGTGTATCGCCCCGTGAGAGGCATACTGCGGTGCCAGCGGGTATCCCGGCCAGCCTTCGCCCGTGAATCCCATGTGCTGGAAGACGCCGGTCCCATCGCCCACCCCAAGCGGAAGCATGCCCTCCGGATATGACGGCATGCCCATAACGCCCGCAGCGTGCCAGGCTTGGTGAGTCGCAGACATGTTGCTCGGAGGTTGTGGGCCTCCTATCGCCGCCGCGGTAGCGAAAAATGGTTGAACGAAACCGTGCCAGAGCTGCACGGTTCCGAAAGAGTTGTCTATCACTGGTGCAGCGGGTAACATCGAGCTCGCGGAAGGATAGGCCGCCGCCTGCGAATAAGAATCCACCGCAGATAATACATAGTAAGAATATCGCTTCAAAGGCAGCATTTTCATCCCTTTATACGGAGTAACTGCTTTGGGAGGGGGGGGGCGAGGTCGGCACCGGGAACGCCGAACGAAAGAGCCTACGGTAACTTGGTCAAGTTTGAAGTCGCTAATTTCCCAAATCCTCTCCACTACGTTCTCCATCAGCGTCCCAACCCCATCAACACGGAATCCTCGACGTTCTGGCCCGCTCATGGCTTTGTATGTTCCCTTAGCTTTTATTGCCCTACCTACACCTCCAATCTTACCATGGAACAAATGTCCCTTTCGAAAAAAATTCTCTCACTCCCCTCTACCCTAAAGTAAGTAATCCATGGAGTGTTAAGGAGAGGCCGCCATCACTGCCGAGCAGAAACGCCTCGGGGGGCGACGAAAGTATCCAGAATCAAGCATCACAGCAAAAAACACGCTCAAGGCACACACACACCTGGCGCGCCAAGACAGCATCCTCTGGGGGTAGGTGTTCGGCCGTATGTGCAAGAGGGTGAGCACCATCCCCAGCCAGCCGGAATCTCCTCGCATCCGCGTCCGGGTTGTGGTGGTCCTGCTGACCCTCTTCCTGCTGCTGCTGGGCCAAGAAACCGCCCTGCGAGTACAACGGGCGAGGCAGGACACAGACAGCGACCGAACTTAGGAACCTCTAGTTTTGGTTGAGGCTGGGATTTTTTTTCCCTCTTTTGGGGTACAATTGGCCGCTTATATAGGTTTTAGTGTAAGGCGTTCTTAACCGGGTTCACAAAAAATGTTGCTTGGTATCTATGATGTTGAGCGTTAAGTTCCGAAGTGCTAAGTTCTTGAGCGCGGGCGCTGTCTGTAGGCGAACGGTCGAAGAACAACAATTGGTTTTGTCTACACTTGAGAGTGCATTCCTTGTTCAACAGCAGGGGAGAACGAAAGCCAAAACTCAAAAAGGCGAGCGTGTGAAGCCCCAAGTATTGAGTGGGGTTACATATATATGCCCCACGGAAGGAATCATAGCGGACGGCGGTACAGTGATTTTGGTAGGCGGCAAGCTGACGTACACCATGGCTGTATGGAAACAAAGAAACAACATTAAAACAAACGGGCTACGGTGAACAAATCTACAATTTACAATAACATGCGACACAACAACATACACAACCAACCTGGCTCCTAGTGGCGCACGGAGAAGCCAGGAAAGTGGAGGTGTCAGGGGAGGGCCTGACGACACCAGAGGAGCTACGGGCGCTGTCTAGGCCGGTGGATAGCGCAGCTCTTGAGCCTGCTTCTGGCCTGACTCCCTCCTGGTCGCGATGCCGCTTAACACCACGAACTTCGCCACCGGCGCCCAATGCGACCCCCACCGCACCCGCTATCACGATGGGTGCTTTCGCCATGGTATGACTGTGAAGCTGCTCTGTTGAAGATTCTGGTGCCGATGCGGCGGGGGTAATACTGGCGGGCAGAGATGCCACCGCCTGTGAAATTGTCGCCATAAAGTACGTTACTTGTTCAAAGTAAAACATGGAAAGGGGTTAGCGACGACGGCGAAGTCATTTGATCCAACAACCGTCTTCCACAGTAGTGCCTCGCCCTCTTCCCCAAATCCAAGTATTCCAAACAGAGAGGGGGGTACCATGAAAGTGAAAGAATGCGTGATGGTATGGTCTGGGGGTGTCACGACCGATGGGTTTGCTGCTTGTGCGGTACGACGTGCGATGTCTTGCACGTTTATTCGAAAACAAATCTTGACGATGCTGGACCCAAACGACCGAAACTGTTTTTGGCATTTACTGGTACCAAGGGAACAGCAATAGAAACAGTTCATAGCACGCTGAGCGCAACCAAGCCTGTTTCACGGCACTTGACACACAACGCAGCGAGAGTTGCTCTCGCTCCACATATTATTTGCCGGTGTTTCCCATCGTGAGTTCCGCCCAGGCATACGTAAACAGAATCGATGGCGCGGTATTGGCCCTCCTGTGGGGCGTAGCAGGTACAGGTAGACACCGACTACTGCAAGAAGAAAGCTATAATAGTCGCTAACCTCCACACCTTGGCGTCTCCTCTCTCCGAAGCTGAAGTCGTCATGGCGGACGTGATGGGTTGGCTTGGCGTCTCCTCTGAGCAAGCCGGGGTTCCGCACTCCGCCGTTTCGAGCTCATCAACGTCGACCTCACGCCCGTCTAATCTTATCGCCGTCGTTCCTGTCGAATGTTTGTCGGTGCCACCACCGGGAACATCATCGGCCCCTTGGGCAGCTGCGGCGCCCTGACTTTGGAGCCCACGTTCGTTCGCCTTGAGCGGGATTATGGCGAGCAGGGCCAAGCGCATCTTACCCACCATACAGCAGATAGATATGATGGTGAGCGTCCATCGCGCGTGCGGCGGCAAGTGGTCGCTGCTGAACAGGTGGTATGTCACGATGCAAGCAACGAACTCCACGAGGGTCAGCACGAGTCCTGCTCCGAACGCACGCGTCCCGTCCAGGATGGAGTCAATGAACGGCATGGCCACGATTCTCACCCGAAACCTAAAGCCCATCGTAGCTTCTCCCGAATAGGCCGCAGCCCAAACCACGAGACACCGGCTGATCCAGAGGTAGGGTAGCACCAGGAAAAACCACTTCCGTAACACTAGTGCGATCATTGTCAGGGGCACAAAGCGACTAACGATCTCTAGGACATGGTACAAGAAGCAGAACCACACATGAGTACGCGGGTGCACCCAACCCATCCTCCCCGCTAGTCTCGAAACGCCTTTCTCCGGCACCCGACTAAACACTAGTGCCGTTACAGAAGGACAATCTGGGCACATTCTGAACCTCTCTGTGCCACCTTCCCCAGAAAGACGGGTGTTCAGCAGTCTCTCGACACTGGAAACGTCGGTAGCCGCATACGCCAGGCTTACCGTCGAGATGCACACGGAAATCACGCGCCCATTCAAGTCGCTGTTCGACAATGATGTCTCGCTCCAAAGCAGCAGCATCGCGTACAACTGGAGCAGCAGCTGGGGTACTGACTCGAACAGTGGCTCGATGACGCGCACAAGGGCTAAGACAGGGGAGTACGTACGCGACGCCGCAGAAAATACGGCTTCTAGCAGCAAGCTCAACTGAGTCGCTACCAAGAACCGACGACCGCAAGTGAATTCGGGGAGAAAGAAAGCGGACACGATCACTGCCGGACCGAGGGCGAAAGCAACCACAAGCACAAACCAAAATAAGTGGCCTGAATTGTAGTAGGAAACCGCAGTGTAGAGATCTGAAGCCAAGTCTAGGTACCCAAGGGCAACAGGAACGATCAAAATCTTGACTGCGTGGCCAGCGTCATTGACATGAGGAAGCGGGGGTCCGTCCATAGCGCGTCCTACTATGAACTTCTTGAAGCGCGGGTGCTCCGCCAGCCGCTTCGGGATCTCGCCTCCTGTATGAAAACCGGACAGGGTGTCAGCTTTGCGCTCGCCATACCCCTTGGGTACTTGTCAGAGGAGTTGCGAAGCTTAACCACGTCTTCTGAAGAGTTCCATGTTCATGTTCATGTTTCAATGATTGGAAATGATATGGGTAACCCATCAACAACATCGTCTCTGTTTGCTGTTCGACACCCGCTCTGAAACGGGCACGATGAGCTCACCGCTCAGCGGGTTCGAAGAAAGATTCAGGTGCTCCAGAGACCACAGGTTGCCCAGCTGCGGTGGAATAGGCCCTGCGGCAGGTTCATGTGCATGTCGAGGAGTACGTGAGTCGCCAGCCGAAAACATTGTCGGATGCGAAGGAATGAGAATGCAGTGCGAGCCCGTGGTTTGTACCTCGAGAAGATAACTATTGCGGTGGGATTTTCGTCGCTTTACGTGACTCAACAACAAAAACAAATTGATAATAATGTGTTCCAGCGCTCACCGCAAAGCTCATTGTTGGAGAGGTCGAGCCACGTCAGATTGTTCAGCGAGCCGAGAGCACCAGGAATTACACCTGCGTGAACAAGAAATCGATCAATCGTGAACGACAATACATCATGAATTTGTGGTGGTTGTGTAAGGTTGAGGTTGTAATCGAAGCCTACTCGAATAGTTGTTTCCACTGCGAGACGACCAACGAACCAGGTGGTGCTTGCTTCGAATTGAAAGCTTGCTTGTAGTGCCCCACCCACGCATCGGACGGAACAACGAGAAAAAACGATTCTTGGGACGTCCTGCCACATTGAGTTATCGACGCGGCTTACACCTGCCAGGAGTTCGATTTGGAAACCACTCAACTAAGTAAATCATCTTCTCAAGAGTAATGGACTGATTCCCCCCCCCCCAAAAAGGCAGAATCCCAATCCCGGGTAGCGCAGATATTTCTTGAAAGGCCATCTCGGACATGCAGGGTTAATCGTTAAGAATGCTAATCTCACCGTCCAGCTGATTGTTCCACATGGAGAGGATTGTCAGGGCACCAAGATTTCCGAGCTCCGGGGGAATAGGGCCTGCACGTTGGGGAAAACAACAGGTATGCTCCTCGCTCAACCGTGTCTAGGTCTAGAACATCATACTCCCGGTACTCTTTGGACTCGACCAATTCATGTAATAATGGCGAACGCCTGACATTCGTTCCACGAAAAATGCAACCACCACCGAGGCATGGTGAGTGCTCTCTGGTTGTTGAGCAGCAGCATGTGAATGAGATTGGAGAAAACACGATGATGCCCCTTCCCACACATCCCGACCGATTCCCTAAAAAAACTTGTTGTTCGGTACTGTGGAGACCACCTTCATAAAGGTAGAAACTCCCCAACGTCTGTCGAGGACGATTCCCTCTTTTCACAATGGCGTCGACATAAGATGTCAGGGTGTCTGCTTTTGGTTGCAAAAGACACGGGTTCAAAAACCGCTGGTCACCAAATTTTCTTCCGGAAAACGGAAAAAGAAAAACGGTGGGTGGGCCAAGGGAGGACGCACTGGCTATCGAACTCGGAACTTCTGTAAACGTGGCGGACGTAGCGAATCCGTAAAACACGTACAGAAGATTGTGAGGAATGTGAATCGCCCCGCCGCCAGCCGGTCGGGTTCCGGTTACCCCAAGAAGACTTCTCTTGCCTGGAAAACAAGAAAAAGTCTCGAAAAAAAAGGGGGGGGTAATGTGGAGACCACCTTCATAAAGGTAGAAACTCCCCAACGTCTGTCGAGGACGATTCCCTCTTTTCACAGTACTACTGCACTAGTTTGCGTCAAGTGTGTCATCCACACCACCAGTAGCTCGGGACGGGGTAGTAGAGCTTCAACACCCGGGTATTGAAGCTCCATACGTGTCTCTTGTGGCTACGCAGCGATGTGTGTCGCGTCAACCTTTATTTCTTCAGCGTCAACTATCATTCCGTTCTTCGAACTCTTGATGACTTACACCTTTATCCACACTACACCTTCCTCACCTTCCACCAGTACTCTCAAGTCCCACAGATGGCCGCGAAGAAGCGGAAATTACCAAGGAAAGCATGTAGCGGCGCTGTGTTGCTGCTCTCACGGATGACTGCTCTTGTTTGCCCTCCACTGTCAAAATATCTACGGTGTCGTCACAAATATCCCGCAAAAAACGCTAAACGTCGCCCTGGTACACCTATGTAAGTCCTGGTGGCTGGGTGGTATACCTACCACTCACCCGGAAACCCGGCGACAAGAAAAAACACTTCCCTAGTACCTTCTTGAACCAAGGGCTCCATGACTAACGACCTCGATATCGTACTGCAATATGCATATGCAACGCTCGCTCGCATGATATCACCTCGCGCTAGACAAAAACATCATTCTCCTTCTTGTTTCTGGGCTCACCCATCAGCTGGTTGTTCGAGAGGATGAGTACTGTCAGGACACTAAGCGTTCCTAGCCTGGGCGGGATAAAACCTGTTTGATTCGCAAAAAAAGTACTCGAGTAAGCGTTTCGAAGAGGGAGAGTAGGTCCGACAAAATACTTCACACCTGCGTGACGTGTTCGGCGCACGTGATTTCCCTCGCATCTCAAGGCCGAATATATGTGTCGATTTGCAAGATGTATGTATGTGTAACTACCGCAGGCAATTAGTGGGGGTTCGTTGTCACCCAAACAATGCGGGATCTATGGGCATGGTTACGATTGGCGACAGCGAGCGGGTATCAGACAGAGAAGGCGCGCCTGCTGTGTCCGTACGCAAGTAGTCCATGGGTTCTAGAGTAACAACAAGTGGACGATCCATCACATACAGCAGTAGTAGCAGTTCCCCCGCGAACAAAAATACCTCGGAGGTTGTTGCTTCCTAGCTCCAGCCGCTCAACGCGGCGCTCATCATTTGCTTGAACCCCATACCACGACCCAATATGATAGTCTGTGTCCCAGTGTGCGCCTGCCCTCCAACGGCTGCCGGTCCACTGAGAAAGGGCGGCAAGTGCCTTACGATCCGTCTCTGCTTCAAAGGAAACATTAACATTTGTGACATCCAAAACGGGGCGAAGCTGAGTAGAGCAAGAACAGACCGGCTGTTGCTCTGGAAGAATTACCTCGCAGGTCCCAAACATCTGCTGCTGCTGTGTATTGCTCGAGAAAAATAGTAGTTTTCTGATCTGGTTACCAGGTAATGGCGCGGACACGTGTGTGTTGGTATTTATGTTCTCCAGTACGAGTATTTCCGCTTGTGGTGTGGTCTCTCCCGCCATTTAATATACGTACGTACTGGCTCTTATTTCGCGAAAAAGATGCGCAAGGCCTGCGGCATATACAGACTATATTGGAAGCCGTAGATTCGTGAGTCAAGGCTCATGAGGATGTTCGTTTCAGGTACATCTGATACTGCTGCAACCCTCCTGCTGTCTGTACCGAATCTGAAATTGGTTCCAGGCCCGCAGGTTCCTGGTTGGCAAATGATGAGGATCGAGTTGAATATGCATGGAGTGTAACAGAGAGCGACAGAGATCGAGAGGCAGAGATCCTGTACAGCGGAGAGAGAGAGCGAGAGAGAGCGAGAGAGAGGAACCTGCACCTCTATCACACATTGTAATAATTTGGGGATCGGCTGTAGGCCGTTGCGTGATGAAGAGCACGGCGGACAAAAACAAAAACCAAGAGGTCGCCCTTCAATGTCGGCGAAACTTGAGAGACTTCAAATTTTCAAAAGTTTTTCATGTACTACAACAACAGCCAACGGAGGGGTGGTGATGGCTACAATTCCAATTTCAGCTGCTGTACACAACACCCACAATAAACATACAAAACCGTGACTATGCTCCCCCCTAAAGTCAACGCTGTCCGCTGCTGCCGGGTAGCGGAGTCCGATCAACCCCACCGCCCTTTCTATGCATGTGCCCAAGAACACACCCACACCTGCTGAAGTTTGCATGTTATCCGAAGCAAAAGAAGTAAATCGTGGTGGTATCCACAGCGCGCGCCCCTTCAAAGCAACCTCTTCGTCGGTTTCACGTGATCCACTCCCGAACAGGTATGTGTCCACTGGCGTTGGTGGGGGCTAGGTACGCGCTCGAGGTTGTAGTTGTGGTTGGTAGACACCCGGCTCTGTATTCCAGGTACAGTCCAGGACTGGTCCAGGTTTTATTTTAGTCCAGGACGGGTTCCAGGATTTTCTCGGAATTTTCGTGGGGTGGTCCAGGTGTATATGTACTTGGGCCCACACACCACAAAGTGCTGCACCGCATGTTTCGTGAGGCAGAGGGCCAAACCTCAGAGATTGAATCAAGGAAAAGAGGTTTGGCAAGCAACTCTCTGCATTTGGCAGCAAATCGCCGGTACTGGCACCACCAACGCACCGCCCTGCAGCACAGCACACACCGCACTTACTTGTGCCTTGGTACACGGTACACAGAGCACGCACAAGACGCACCGCATCGCACCGGTGACAGCTGATAGAGATAGAGTATAGGGGGCAAGCCCAACATATCCACACGCCAACGGCGGCAGCGTCGATACCCCATGATGGCAGGGCGGCGTACTTCCACTCTATTTGGTGGGATGGGCGTACTCAACGCTGGTATTCGTGGGATTTCCCATGTGGTGTATGTACAGCAGTATAGTCCATTGTGATGTATCGTATGTACCGTAATAAAAGGATGGTGCGAGTCTTGGCACGGATCGGCTACATGGCACAGGCCGGGGTCTTGGCACAGGGGGTGCGGGAAAAGTCGGGTTTGAAGGGATTTTATTGATTATGGCACAGGTATCGTTCACTTCGCACCGGGGTGTGCGGAGACCCCAATACCTTCGGCGAGGTTGGGTGATGCCATTGTTTCCAGCTTTTGTCGTTGGCCACTGCTGTACCAAAAGGTAAATAGCTTGTATCGGGCTCCACTGCTGTACTTTGGTATCGTAACGTTGCTCATGTGCAAGCAAGTGATGTTGTTCAACACTGCCCTGTTGGTTGGAATCGGCAAACGGTTTCTACTCAATCAACCAAGAACGCGCACAAATCACAGAGACCACACGACCACAACCAACCACGAAAAATACAGACTCCGCGCTTGCACCCTCTGACATCGTGTTGCTTGTGTGTGGTGTATGTGTGAGCACACAACTCTCTGTGTTGGGGAAGTTCAAGGTAATTCGCCGCCTCGGATTTTTATTCGCTGCATGTGTTTTGTGTGTTTTGGGGTGTTGGTGTGCTGTTGTGTCTATCTGTGTTCGTTGTGTTGTGGTCCTGATGCTGCGATACCTGCACACGCACACGAAAGTGCTGGTGTATGTCTGCCGTGATTTGTTCAGGATCGCACACATCGGAGTCTTGGCGCGGGGGTGGGCGTTCACAGCACCCCACGCGCCACTCTGTACTTCTTCAGAATCGCATCGATCGGAGTCATCGCGCGGGGGTGTGCGTTATACTTTCAGGACCAAACATTTAATTCATGTCCCGCACAGGTATCGGGTACATGGCACGTATCGGCGTCTTGGCACCCCTGTGCGATAGAAAAACATATGATGCAAGAAAACATCTTAAAAGACGATCGCACAGTGTGCCAAGACCCGCATCCTTACGGTAGTCCACAACGTTTGTTTTTCTGATTGTCATTGTGGGGTCCTTCGCGGCTGCGAACGGTACCACCATTAACACCATTGGACGCACGGCACATTCCGTGTGACATCTGTCACCATCGTCGCCTCTTACCTCTCATTGGCACTACCCACAGCAAGTACGTGTGATACCAACACGCGAGAGTGTTTAGTGTGTGACCTCCATTCCGATGAGTTAGCTGGCGATAATTGGTACGACAACCGTTTTTTTTCGCGACTTCTCCAAAAACAATTTGTCACATGCAGACTCTATTGTATGTGTTGCACACCTCGCACAAAACACTAATGCTTACCTTCGGACAAGACACTGGGCTATATCTATGACAACAGAACGGTTCTACGAGTAGGCTTCGATGTTTCGGCCACATGCTTGCTTCGACCTTCCTCCCAGAGCACCAAAAACCAACCCCCCACTCCCTCGGCAGATGCTCCGCCCTTCCTCCTTTACATCCAGCATCTAAAAGCACTAAACTCTGAGCAGTGAAGAATAAAATATCAGTACACAACACTACGAGATGCTTCCTTCTTTCGCTCTTCCGATACCTTTCGTTTGTCACAAAGACGAGTCTTGAATGGAACATTCCGAGCAAAGCCAGAAAGCCATACCAATATTTTCCTTTCCCTTTCCCTCACGATAAAACCAACCCACTCCCCACCCGTCCGTCTCTAGTGCGTCCGACGGACACGAGTCGTACACATACACCCTCGGCCCCGCCCACAATTTCGGCAGGCCCATGAGCCCGGACAACTCCCTCCCTCCCTCCCTCACCAATTAAACCCACTTGCTACCCACCCGGCCCTGCCCGACCGAGCGACAGCAATCATTCACATATCCTCCCCGCCCAATATGACACGGACTCCTACTCTTTGTAAATCTCGTGCCACGATCACGTCCATATTCTCGCCGAAAGACCCCCCTCTATTGTACGACAGCCTACCACTGCGGTGCCCTTCTCGCCCTATCCCCGCAAAGCGGTGCACACCAGCAGAAGCAAGCGGCAGTAAATCGCACCAAAACACAAGAGGCCAGGTGACTCGTCAGCGAGAGCAGGAGAGACGGACAGAACAAAAAACAACAACCAACCCAAATGCTGACCAACCAGCAAGAACAAACCTAAACGAAGCTCAGGAAGGTGGGGCTCATCTTGGCGAGGTTGGACTCGCTCTGCGCCGCGGCGATGAGGTCGTGCACGGCTCTGTCCACGGGCATGGGCTGCCCGTGAGCGTTGTTGCGTACCCTGGGCTTGAGCTTGTCGAGGCGGCTCATCACCTTCGTCACGTTCATCCCGATGCGTTCTTTCAGCTGCACGTCCACCTGGACGGAAGGAACGGTTTCAATACATAGAATGGTTCCGCCGCGTATGAGGGTTTCCATGTGAGGCGTTTTTCGTGACCAGCTGGGGGGGGAAGGCATCAGGCTAATCGACCACTCCAAGTATTGTACGGTAGACGGGGGGATCAGCAACATCGCCACAACAAATCAGCAACAGCGCCAAGAAGGGCAAAAACAACGACAACAACAACAACAACAACAACAACAACAACAAACAGGCCTTAGTATAAACAACAACACGACACTAGCCCTACCGCTTTCTGCTGCTCTTCTGTCCTGTTGACCGGCGCCTTGCTGACGTGCCACGAAAGAAGATCGTCCCTGAGGATCAGCGCCAGGAACGGTTCTAGGACCTCCTTCTTGGCCATCAGGGCGCCGCTCATCGACACCATGGTCAAAGCGAGAACGCCCTGATCGGCGTTTTAGGAAACAAAACAGGGAGGGACGAACACAGCAACAAGCAACAACGATGAGGACAGCTGAAAAATAAAACAACCCAGAGGGAACGGCCAAAAGGCAAGGAAAAGGAAGGCCTTCCTACCGAAAAATAAGGCAAAAGAAGGCACCGCTTCCGGTGCCTTAGAACCGTCACACGGACTGAATGGACCCTGTACAACAGAATCACACAACGAGCGTGTGAGACACCAACATGGTGTTCCATTGTGACGCCTGCTTTTTGGTCTCGCCCGTTTGATACGACGTTGTGGTGTCTACATTCGCGGCTGGGTTGCTCTCAAGTCGTTTGGAAGGGAAGGGCAGCCGAGGCACGCTCAACAACGTCGGTGGGCTTTTTTCACACAGACCAAAAGGCGTGTTGTTATCGCTCGAAAATGGAGTGGGTACTTCTGTCACTCGGCACACAAGCGTGGTGTAAACAGCGGGCTTAGTGTGAATGGAGTGGGTACTTCTGTCACTCGGTACACAAGCGTGGTGTAGAAACAGCGGGCTTAGTGTGAATGCTAAAGGAATCAAGGCCAACCCCACCGTGGTGCCCACAACCATGAGTGTCGATGTTTTAGAGGAAAGAAGGTGCGAGCTGATGGCAACCTGCAACCAGCGACGGGACCGGGCGTGCACTGCCTTGCAACGCCACTGAGGTGCATCCTCACCTCCACCAGCATGGGCGACATGAGCGTCGACATGTTCCTCGTCAGCCGGAACGGGACGTCTTCCGCTTGCTCCAGCAGCCCAGCGTGGGTGTACCTGACGGCGCACGTTTTTTTTTTTTTTTTCCCGTCATTCCAAAGCAACAAAACGCGAAGAAGCCGGACACTAGTGAGACCCTTGCAAAGCGGAGGTCTCCGCTCTAGAGATCAGTCGCGAGGCAAAGGTGGGTGCACTTACTGGGCGTCAAGACCGCCCCCTATCCATCACCATGCTGGTGTAGTACGTTCGGGGCGGCAGCAAATGCTGCCATTCCAAATCTCGGAATCAATCAACCTTCTAGTACACTCGCCCGTTCATGTACCCACGAAGTAACTACCTGCTGCCTGATGCACCCACACGAAGTGTAGCGAGATGACGATATCCCAGAAATTTACTAAAAAAAAGAAAACCAAAAAGGCGTTCTCAACCAACATAGGCACCTGTCGGCGTGCAACTACTTGTTGAATAACAGCCCTACACTAGGAAACTCAACGAAATAAAGCTCAGAAACATTAAACACAACACGCGCGCTTCCCCTGGACAGAATGCCAACCTGCCTCCCTTCAAAACCTATACTCCATATCAAGCACAAAAAAACATGGTACATGACCAAATCTCCCCCCAAGTCCAAACAACAGGCCTACAGTTGAACCCGATACGTCATGTCTGCCGCCGACGGATCACAAAAAAAAAAAAAACGCTTACCCTGGGCGGAACTCCCAGCTGACCACCCTCGCCGTCCGCTTGTCGAAGATGATTCTGTGTGGGAAACGCTCCCCGCAGGTGAAGATGTGACACAGCAGGGACGAGATACCCGCTTGCGCGGCGAAGTGGCGGCGGAAAGCCCACACCGCCTCCGCGTCCTGATGAGGATTGGATTCGAGGATAGGATTCGGGAAAACACGGCAGCGAGAAAGAGAGAGAGAGAGAGAGAGAGAGAGAGAGAGAGAGAGAGAGAGAGAGAGAGAGAGAGAGAGAGAGAGAGAGAGAGAGAGAGAGAGAGAGAGAGAGAGAGAGGAGAGAGGGCAGGAGATAGAGAGGGAGGGAGAAAAAGAGAGAGATGAGAGAGGGAGAGAGAGACGGAGAGGCACAGAGAGAGAGGTAGGGAAAGAGAGAGAGAGGGGGGGGGGGGGGGGGCAGACAGACAGACAGACAGCAGAATCATCCACGGAAAGAGCGGTCATATCAGAGGGGAAAAGATTACGATCGATATCTCTCTTCTGATTTAATTCGAACAAATTGGAAAACACGATAAACATAAACTTACAACAAATCGTCAGTCACCTATTACCGTTTATTCCACCCACACTTCGCAAAAGCAAATCTACAGGGTTCGCCTCAACGCGGCAACAAGACACAAAAAAATAACACGAAACTCATATATCCAACACGACTATTGAGTACCCCCCCCCCGACTAGACTTCCTTCCTGAACAAAACAGCAGCACACCTTCACGACTCCGTGTACGTAGCGCGTGAGTATGTCCGCGGAGACGTCCTTGCTGCAGATCTCGTTGAAGACCTTGAGCCTCTCTTCGCTCTCGGCCTTCTTACCAGCCTCCTTGTCGGCGGCACCGGCCACCGCGGCGCTGACCCGCTCACGGCACAGCATTAAAGGCGCATCCGGGTCCAGCCCCTGTTGTTGTTGTTTTGGTTGTTGTCGTAGTAGTTCCATGTAAACCGGCGTTGCCCCGGTAAGACGCCCCACAACATAGGTAAATTCGCGACAGGTTACATGCCGCCTACTGCTTTGGGCCTCAACAATAATAGTTAATTGGAATAGCATCAAAAATAATGACGCAAACAGCAGTTGTCGTTCCCACATGGTCTTTCGCCAACTTGACACCGACAACAAGACGAAAGAGAACAGAACAAATCGAGGTAGGCGGTTTGCGATACCTGGCGGTGTCGATCGGCCTCGTAGATCTCTCCCAGGGACACGAAAGCCTCGTGGTCTTCCATCAGTCGCCTGTACCAATACAATGAACGAGAGAATTATTGTTTATTTCATCACATCGACGACCATGAATGGGATACAAACAACAACATCGACACAATTGTATGCATGCTGAGTACAGATCGGATCACTGATGAACACGTGTGGCCGCCATATGCCGCCTTGCCTGGCCAACTTGGACCAAGCGCACCTGCACGGTCACGACCCCTCCCCCCCCCCCAAACCTCAAGACAGACGATTTGCGTGTTTGGGACTACTGACTCCTGCTCGTTTGATCCACAAAACCCATCTCCAGTATCTTGAGGATCAGTGGTCAGCGGGGTCGATAAATATTGCTGCGAGGTAGGCCAAACAGCCTTGGTTCCCCAAGAGTTGTACGACCATCCCCACTACAACAACAACAACAACAACAACAACCACTATGACCACCACAACAAAAACAACAACGACGACGCCAACCTAAAGAGGGAACCCACATGCGAGGAGTGATCGGTACGACGACGGGGACTTGCACCGCAAGGTCTCGCCCCCTGGTCTGCGGGTCCCTCTCCAAGAACTTCCGCAGCATCGAGTGCACTTGCATCACTCTCTCGTCCGTCCTCGTCACGTGCGGGATCGCGAACTTGATATTGATTGCACGAGACAGCACGGAATAGAGACAGACAATCGCACAAACAAAAAAAAGACAATTTTTTAACATTTTGTTGGAAGTCAAGCCGCAAAACAGGAGAAAAAAAAACAAAAAATAGTGTAGGTTTTCCAGACCGCACGTGAAGGAACCGGCGACGTCTGAAAAATTTGAAAGGCCGCAGGCTACCCGTACACCAAACGCAACCAACATGCACAGCAGGGGGGGAGAGGGATAAACCGTCAATATGAAAGGGGGTACGGGCGGTACCACCGAAAGTAGCACCAACAGCAGCAGCAGGCACCGACGACACCAGGGAGTAAACCAACAGCAACAACCACAAGAACGTCCCGCAAGAACGTCCCGCAAGAACGGTCCGCACCTGCACGAGGAAGAAGTACCGGCGACCGTCACTGCCCAGCATGCTCAGCCGCCTCTGAGAGAAGCCATGCCTGAGAAGAACGAAAGCAACACAACAAAACACGAAGAAAACATGGTATTGAAACCACGGAGCCCCAACGTATTCACCCATACTCGCGGGAACTACATTGTTGAGTCAGTGATAATGGGGGTTATTACATGGAATTTTCTACGCTCTCCAGGGACACCTGGTCCAATTAGGGTACATGTACATCGGTTGCACCCTCTCTCTGACCGCTCGAGTGTGGCTCTAACCAGGCACGCCCCTTAGTCGGCGTAACCGGACAAGCTCGGCATTTTCGGTCTCCAAGAATTTTTCAAGCGTCCATTTACCAACCGCGAAGACTACAAAAAGCCGTGAATTGACTTGTCCGCATGATATGCTACGCAGTCTGAGAAGCACGGAGAGCAGTGGAGTTGAAATTCGAAGGGGCGCACGGGTGTCTCGCCTCTGCAACCGCAGCGCAGCTTACAACCATTCGCCCGCAAACATGATGTCTTGACGAGAATCGGATTCTTCCAGCATTGATGATGCCTTGGCAAGCAACGGATGTTATCTGCTAAAAAAGAGGGAATCGTCCTCGAAAGACATCGGGAGAGATGATCCTTTCCCTGAGAAAGAATCACCCCGCACGCAACACTCACACTACGGTATCCCCATAAAAATAATCACACTGGGGAGATGCGATCCTTTACATCATACACCATCATCCCCACGAAACAGTCACCCCACGGTATCCCCACAAAACAATCATACCACGGTATCCCAATCAAAACAATCATACCACGGTATCCCCACAAAACAATCATACCAAGATGTCCTTACCGGTGAAGCACCGACACGGTCGAGTGGAAGCGGAGCAGCTTCGCGTGGAGGTCCGGTCTGGGCTCTCCGTCACAGCTGGCGTACTGTCCCGGGATCTCGATTCGCGCCTGGCTGGAAGAGTGCCAAGTCTCCAGCTCGCAGTGCACCTGTTTGTATCGTTGTCGGGCGAATTACATTAAAAAAACGGTGGTCAAGAGCTCCTCCAGCTAGGTGGTAGCGCCGCAATGTCAGCAGGCACAGAATGAGACCGCAACAACGTTGTTGGCTCACCCTTTCAAGGATTGAGCTGTAGCACTCGAGATCGACCCATATCGACGAGCACAACCTCCATCTTTTTTCCTTTGTCGACGTTGTCATCAAATATGTTACCTCCCCCCTCGAAGAACACGCACCCTAAACCACGTTTTCGGTTCTTCGGTGTCGCAGCGAACGTTTTTGAATTTCATCGGGCAGAATGTAATGATTGCACACAGACATCCTTGCTTTCACGCGTAGACCTATGCACCTACGAACACTGAACTCCGCACACACAAACACCCATACGCTTCTCTTCATGTGGTACCGTTGCTGTCTTATTCGGAGAAAAGCCTAACCCCCCCCCTCACGGGGTCCCAGGTCATGGCCTTCAGAAACGCTCTACGTTATTAGCCGCACTGAGACTGGCGTATTTTCGTTGGTCAGCCGGTTTGCGCATTCGATGCTAGAGGGGAAGACACAGACAAGCACACAGCCTGATGCATGTTCATATGTTCATTGCTCAGTCAGCTAGGTGCGGTCGATACTAAACACAACGACACACACAGCCACATTGACGCCATTCACCGGAAAGCAGATTATCACGGTCCACGACAATAAACGTCAAGACACGCACGAAAACACACCTGCGCCAGGTAGGGGCTACACCGCTGCAACGGCACCTCCGAGGGCGCCCTGAACACTCGGCACCCCAAGAGGTGCTTCCACTTCTTCAGTCGATACACGACCTTGGTCAGGGTCATGCGAGACTCAGGTTCCGTTGCAGCCGGCACCGCCACCGGTGGTGCCCCCGGCGTTGCGGCGGCAGCCGCCGCCGCCGCCGCCGCTGCAGCCGCCTCTTTCTGCTTCTCCTCGTTGGTGACCTGGACACGTTGACCGTTATCGTTATCGTTATCGAGAGGTTGGAGTAGGTAGACGTCAGGTGCTGTCAAGGGGCTGGAGTTAGACGTCAGGTGCTATCACGAACCTAGCGTGAGGAACTCCTCGAGAGGGGGGAGCGGCAAATGCAGAACCTTTCCCCCTCCCTGATGATTCACACACTCCGTTATATTGCAGGTCCATCTTCAATGTTATATCGTCCTGGGATCTGCGTTTACATATGGCATCCATCTTGAGGTCTACGTAAACGTATGTCATCCTTTTGAAATGAGTGCGGGGGCCCTCAACGCTGTGTAACACTGTTCCAGTCTTCTTGGTATGCAGATCAGCAATACCGACCTTGACGTATTTGTCAAATGTAACCTGGCATAGCTCAACCGACGCATCATCACCACCCACGACCCTCTCACAAGTCATCACCACCCACGTCACGAACAAGTCATCACCATCACCCTCTCAAAAACGTAGGACGTCACCGAAACCGCAAAACAGATAGATCATCACAACCTCACGGACAGGTCATCGCTACCACCCACTCTCACAAGCGTAAGCCGTCACCGAATTCGCAAACAGATAGATCATAACTACCTCACGAACAGGCCATCACCATCACCCTCTCAAAAACGTAGGCCGTCACCGAAACCGCAAAACAGATAGATCATCACAACCTCACGGACAGGTCATCGCTACCACTCTCTTACAAACGTAAGCCGTCACCGAAGCCGCAAAACGGATAGATTTAATTAAAAAGTCGGCTTTTCTTGGTGGTTCGGTGCGTTGTCCTCTCAGCCATCACTACCGTTACCAACCTCGAAGTCCTTCTCGAAAGTCGCCTGATACAGCTCGACGAACCGCTGGTGCTTGGGGGACTTGTGGGCCGCGTCCCTGTTGAAGAACTTGCGGCACACCCTTTCCAGGGTGGACTTGAGGGTCACGGGGATGACGTCATCCATCGGCAACGTCACCAGCTGTGCGCGTGATGAAATAAAATCAAGAACAACGAAAGTAAAAACGGGATAAAATGTGTCAGTTGGGGGTAGTGGGGGAAACGACGGTGACAATGGTTGGTTGAAAAGCCTGTAGAATTCAGACATATATTGTTAGACTAGTACGGACAGAAGAAGGTACTGGGCAGAGAGAACGGAACGGTTTTTACTGTTAAGACAACAACAACAACAACATTCGGAGGGAGAAAGGGGGGGGGGGGGGGGGGGGGGGGGGG